GTGATATCAATTACATAGGTCAGATACTTTATTAATTCCATTCCTAAGCACTTGCAAACAAATATTTAGATTGGAATTTGATAAAATATTTAGATTTTAACGCCTTACTTGCAAGCAATTTCCGTGTGGTAATAGCAGATATCTTTGAATCCCAAACCTCCTCTAAAGTTTGATTTATTCATTTTTCTCCAACCTATCTAGTGAATCTCGTGCTTTCCATCCTACTTCCCCACTAGATACTGTTCATTAATTTTGTGATCTCATTATAGATGTTCTTTGGAAGTCTAAAAGCAAACATAGTATAATTTGGCATAACCATTGCAATAGCTTTTGGAAGGACTTCTATACCTACAAGTCTCAACAAATTATTTCTCTAACTTTTTAACTTCTTGCCAACTCTATCCTTTACAAACTCCAATACCTAGTTCTTACTTAATGTGATTACCATTAGAAGCCCCAAATACGCATTCTTCCTAGTTGAGAATTGATAGGCATGGGTGTGTATGTAAAAACAATCTCTTCGTTACACCTCAAGTTTAAAATTTGTAAATTCATAAATATCCCACACACAACTACAAGTATACAGGTCTTGTTTGAGTATAAGGTATTAAAGGCCAATCCTGTAGGAAAGAAGAACAATTATCAACACTATTCAAACTCTTTTATTATTTAGACCATCAACAAATTGGAGAAAAGTAAAACTATGCTACAAATGTGGAAGAAAATAACAATGGAAAGCTCTTTAGGTCATGGCATCCCTAACTACTCAAGCATAATATCCAAACTTGTATGTATCTAAATAATAGAACCCAATACAAAAGATAAAGAGTTTGGAAAGAAGGAAAAACCCTTTCCATGTGAACTTTATCCCCTCCTTGTGAGGATTCATAAATTTACTTATTTTAAATTCCTATTACTAGCTTATTTAAATATTTAATTGCTCGTTTACTCTGAATATTTTATTTCAATTTTTTTAGACCCAATTACATGGAACTATGACTTACTTATATTTTTAAAATGACTCATTTCAAAATTTAATTTTTGAAAACTCGTTAAGTGAGAATATTGAATACGCGTTTGGAGTCAATAACCGATTCGAGAATACAATAAACTTGAAAAATTGGAGACTTGTACATTAGTCTTGAAATATGTATTTTTATGTTTAAGTGTTCAATTATTAGTTAGTAATACTATCGTTATAAGAATTTCTTAAAAATTCCACTTTATCGCGCACAAATCGGGAGTATGCGTTTTTGCACGCGCGATTAAATGAGAGACTTTAGACCTTTATTTTTAGACTATTAAGAGTGAATAATAATAGTATGATTGGAAGTGCATTAGAGGTTTAGTACATAAGTGAAACAAATCCGAGAGGAATCGGGCACGAAACGCGCGCGAACGCGCACTATTCCTAGTTGACTTTTGGGACACTTTTGGCCATACATTTAAGCTTCTCAAGGAAGCTTTATTTTCAGCACAACTCTCTCTCTCTCTCTCTCTTCACTTAAACAGCCGGCCATCCAAGGAAGGAAAGAACCAACATTTTTTCTTCATTTCACTTCTCAAAACTCACCCAAATCATCTCAAAATTTACAAACAACTTGCAAATCACTTGGTCATCAAGCTAAGCTGGGAAAGGAGCTTAATCTCTTGGGTTTTCTTGAGCTTAAAGTGACCAAAATTTTCTGCCTTAATCATCTAAGAAGGTATACAACGATCAACCTCTTAATTCTTGATTTATGGAAGTTATATTGCACTTATGAGCTCATAGATTTACATGGGTAGCTTTATATTGTTGAAAATCTTTTGAGTGGGCTCTATGAAATCTCACAATGGACTTGATGAGCTGATTTGATGATATTTGATGTTATTTATGTTGGATTAGTGCTTAATCTAGTGAAAATAAGTTGTTTTGTGGAAGATAGCTCAAAGGAAGTGATAAGGAAATTTTTACCGTTTCTGCCCCTGCCATTTCCGTGCACTTTGGTGTACTTTATTGTGGTCCAATTGACTTGTTTTTAATGTAAATGTGTAATATAGGTTGTGTATAAAGTTTCCTCAAAAATTTACATGATTTGGACAAGTGAATGTTGAGATTTCGAAAATTTGCCAAAGCTGGAATTGTGTCCCTTATTACTCTGGTAGTGATTTTGTTTCGGCCATAACTCTTTACTCTGACGTCGAAATCGAGTGCCGTTTATGGAACTAGAAACTAGACATTTTCAGTTTTCCAATGGCATAAAATGCATGCCCTGATTCCACCGGAACGATCCGTATCAACCTTGTAAAATTGTCTGTTCTGTTTCTTGTCTGTACTGGAAGCTTTGTTCTGAGCTACAATTTGATGCTCAAATATGAGTTAGTTGTGGACAGAATTTTAAAATGATTCCTTCTAATAAATTGTACTTTTTTGAATTTAGTTTTCAATGCCACCAACTACGCTCAATTCCGAGTTGAATTTAGTGAGTTGTGGCCCGTTTTCAGAGCCGCCTTCACGAAAGAAAACCCTAATTCTGGACTGATCTATAGCTAATCTTGATTTGGGACTTGTTATTCAAAATCCTTGGTGTTAATCACCTATCAAAAATATTTTGGATGTTTCCTAGACTTTGTTCTCATAAATGAATCATGTTTGAGAAATTTTCATTGGCCAAATGTTTGAGAAAAGGAAATCTAAAGTACAAGGTAGGTTTGCCTTGGAAATTCTTGGAACTTCAATGGTTTTGTTAACTGACTTTTCGTGCGAGTTTTTGCATGAACATTTACAGAGAAATAGCCCTTAGACGGTAGTGTAATACTGCTAACTTTGGTACCATTCCAAGTTCATTTAGATACTCAACTAAAGTACCAAAGCTCAAGCTTTAAACCTGAAAAACCCCTGTTTGAGGGGGAAATTTCAGTGACTTTGAGCCACTATATCTTGGTGCTCAAAACTCCAATTCTTTTTCCGCTTGTTGTGTTGAAAACTTTGATTGTAGCTCTAATTGAGTTCCAAATTTTAGAGGCTAGTTCGCATTGTGTGAATTTTGCCAAATTTCCAAACTTTGTTGAAAATCAACCCAAATCTGTTTTGGCATTCCAAAACGACCACTTTGAGCCAACTTTTGAATATCTTCCATTTGGAATGATGGAAAGGTGTCTTCTAGGAACTTTTAGTAATTTGGAAGTAGTTTCCAACAGTACCAAATTTTCCAATTTTGGACTTTCAGAGAGTAAGTTATGATTTTTTTCAAAAATGCCCCTAAATTCGATAATTCCTAACCTTTTCAAAAATTTTCGCGTGGGAACCATTTTCAAAGAATCCGGCCAGTTCTTGGCTGGACAGTTGGCCGGATTAGTAGTGAAAATTGAAAAAAAAATTTGGTTGCTCTCTGTCTCTAATCCGGCCAGAAATCCGGCTGGATGTCCGGCCAGATCTTGGCCGGATTGTGATGTGTCCCTTCTCAGTCCGGCTTTGGTCGTTCGTTTGGAAAATAATTTACATGATTTCATACCTGCTTACTTCCATCCAATGATTTTAAGGATAAAAATCAGATTTTCTTGTGTTTTTGGACCCCACTTTAGAACCTTGATTTACAAGAAGATTTTAGGCTTGTCTTCACGATATTTTCTAGATTGTACATGTGTATGATCTTCCATGATATTTTAGATTTGTAAGTAATAGTTTATTAACAATTACTCAGGCACCCAAGAGGACCTTCAAGAGGATCCCACGGTGAACGCCTGAACCTTCAAGTGGACACTTCCTTGTTTCTTATATTGGTGAGTGTTAAGTGTATGAATACTTGATACATGTGTAATTGTTATAATTGATTGGAGATTTTGAAATTGGAGGCGAGTGTGTATTTTACTGTACTTGTTCTTATTTGAAATGAATGACCCATGATTGAAATGAAACGAATGAATTATGAATGACTTGATTGAATGAAATGAAATGATTGAATGCTTGAATGAAATGAAATGGTATGCTATGGCTGCATTCGTCGTTGGAGTGAATCTTCTCGACTCTCAAATATACATAAGGGACGCCCAAACTCATAGGCCGACCTTGGGACTCGAGCCGGCATGGGCTTGGTCGGGAACCTCGGTGAGTCATGAGAATTACATGATAAGCTTGATCTATCGGAGAGATCTCGCTTGGCATACTCGTGAAGTATTACCTTATAAATATCGTGCGAGTCCGGTGCGGTGGACGGTGGATGGACATGAGAAGTAAGCGGAGTTCTACGGATTGAAAATATCGACCCAGTTGATGGAGAGTCATCACGGGAAGATATACGAATGAGATTTGCAAAGCAAGTGGAAATTAGCTCTTGAGAGCTACCATATCCTTGAATTGTTTCTGTTTACATTTCACTGAATTGTTAATTACTCGAATGTTATTGTTTCACTAATTGATTTGGAATTGTTATTTGGACAACGTGCTTGCATGTGTGTTTCTTGGCCTCACGAGCGATTGCTCACCCCGTAGATTTGTTTTCCTTAACAGAATTGGACTTGGAGTAAGACTCGAAGAAACCCATGGGATGTACTTTTGTTTTAGGATTTCAATGTATTTGACTAGACCTCTTGGTTGTGTATATTTTGGAACTGATGTAGCTTTTGAGAACCCGATGTATGGACTGGATGGTTGTTATATATTGTTAAATTCGATCGTTTTCGCACTTTCTTACTTTATTTCGTGGTAGTGACTAGTATTGTATTAAACTTGAATGGAAATTGTACCGAGTCCTGGCGAGAACTAGACAGGCGTCCCGCGGATACCTTTTGGTTCACCTTATGGCGAAATGGGGGCGTCATAGTTGGTATTAGAGCGCTAGGCTAGAGATCTATTTGGGAGTTATACTAGAAATCTTACTCTTAAGATTTGAGATAGGATGACTAAGTCACACTTTAAGTAATACTTGGGCAAGTTGGTGACTAAATTAGTTATGCCTTAAGTGAAATTCGTGCAAGCTAGTGATTAAGTTTCTAACTCGAAAAGTGTGATTGTTTTGCAGGGATGGATAATGGAAACGAGACTCCGGCAGCTAATAGGAATGGCCATGCTAATGGTCACGTAGAGTCTCCTAGGCCTATTTACTATCGAGCTCTTGGTAGAGGGGTTCGAGTGCGCTACTCGCCTTCTGATAGATACCCTTGCTGTTCATGTAGGTTGATTTTTGTCTATCCAAACCACCTTGTGCTAGTCTTGGACGACGAGCGTCGTCAGTTGGTGAACACCAACCTAGATTTACAGGCGAAGGTAGACGAGTTGAGACAGATCGTTAGTGCTCAGGGAGAGAGGATTACGGAGCTTGAGGAGGTACTGGAGAGCGAGGTGGCTACTGCTGCGGTTACTCGTGAGGAACTCCAGAGGACTAGGGCTCGACTCACTAGATTAGGTGAGGAGGTCCGTGATCGGGTTTCCGAGATCCTGGCCGATGCCACTAAGATGATAGATGGGGTGATGGATATTATTCAGAGCCCAAATCAGGAGGAGGATCCGGAGAAGGAACTTAAGGAGGAGATTCCCCCTAGTCATCCTACTATGGACTAGGTTTAGACTGATTGACCTTTTGACTGATATAGTTAGGATTAGCTGGGGTGATACGAGTGTTGAGACCATTATATTTTGCATGACTGTGTGGCCTACTTTTGAGACACTTGATTTTGCTTTAGTCTTACATGACTAAAAGTACTCTTATGGCACCCGTGTGCTATATTTTTTATGATTTCCCCCAAGACTTGCTAATTGCATGGATCTTGACATGCTAATGAATGTAAATTATTGCTATTTTCAATGTTTTCACGATTGGTTCTTGTTTTAAGTATTTTCTCGCGTAATTGATTCATTTCTTGCACTAGGCATACCTAGAATAATGGAAGGGCAAAGGAATGGTCGAGACCGTGGGCGAGGGACTAGACAGACCCAAGTTCATGGGATGACTAGGGATCGGCAAGGACAAGAAAATATTGAGGGTAATCAAGTAGCTACTGCCATCAATAGCATGACTGATATCCTAGAGCGTTTGGCTGATAGACAAGGTCATGGACCACTTAACCAACCTGGGGGACAGGATAGAGGAGAGCATAAAGCTTTAAAAAGATTCTTGAACTTTAATCTGCCTAAGTTTATTGGGGAACCCGATCCTGAGGTAGCGAAAAATTGGTTGGAGAGAATGACTAATATATTCGCCGCCTTAGACTATATCGAAGATAGGCGAGTGAATTTTGCTGCATTCCAATTTGAGGGAGTGGCTTGTGTTTGGTGGGACATGATAAAAGAAAAATGGGAGAGAGTTCAAACCCCTTGGATTTGAGAGAATTTCACGAGAGAATTTAATGAGAAATTTCTTTCTCCTTTAATTCAAGAAAAGAGGGAGAATGAATTTATCAAGTTGAAATAAGGGACACTTAGTGTAGCAGAGTATGAAAGAAAATTTACTAAATTTTCTAAATATGCTCCTGAATTGGTAATCAATGAGCGAAAAAGAATAAGGCGGTTTGTACAATGACTTAATGTGGAAATCCAGGAGGGTTTAGCCGCAACCCAAATCTCTACATTTATTGAGGCTTTAGAGAAAGCGCAAAGGGTTGAAAATGCGAGAATGCAAGTAAGGGACTTTCACAATAGGAAGAGAAACTTTTCTAATCGTACTTCTGGACAGACTAGTAAGGGTGCACAGCCTTCCAAAATAGGAAGAGGAATGGGAGGAATAAGGACTGTTGGAGTTTCAATGGGAGTTTTATCTAGAGGAGGTTATAGTGAGTCGGTTCAATATAAGGGAATGCCTTCTAGTGGTTCGGTCGTGACGCATCAAGTTACTTGTGGGTACTGTGGTAAACCCAACCACTCTGAGAATAATTATTGAAAAAAGTCTGGAAAGTGTTTGGTTTGTGGATGTACCGAGCACCAACTCGCGAACTGTCCAAGTAAAATGAAAATAGGAGGTAGCACTCAAAGACCAGAAAAGTCAATCTCAAAGCAGACCAGTGCTGGAGGAAGCCGACCAAAGGTACCGGTTAGGGTTTATGCATTGGTCCATCAGCAAATACCCGATGCAACTGAGGTGGTTGAAGGTGTGATTCCTATCTTTCACCGCTTAGCTAGGGTTTTAATTGATTCGGGTGCGATACATTCCTTTGTAAACCCTATTTCATGGACGGAATAGATTTGAAGTCAATTAAATTACCTTATGACTTGGAGGTTAGAACGCCTACTGGAAATCAAAATCTAATCGCTAACTTGGTGTATAGGGATTGTGAGATCTGGATTGGAGAGCGAAAATTAATGGCCGATTAGCCCGTTACAATGCCCAGTTGAATTGTAAGACGAAAATAGTAGAATTGTGTATTGCGGGAGAGGCAACCCTGAAATGGGATGTAAGAGGTAGATTAGCCTCATCTGCACTTATTTCAGGAATCTGAGCAAGGAAAATGTTAAGTAAAGGAGTTCAGGGATATCTGGCTTTTCTAATCAACACTACTAGTGATAAGGTGAGATTGAAGGATATGCCTGTAGTGAAAGAATTCCCAGATGTCTTTCCTGAAAAATTAGAATCTTTACCCCCGGAAAGGGATATAGTTTTTAAGATTGATGTGACTCCGAGAGTAGCACCTATCTTTAAGACGCCATATCGGATGGCTTCAGCCGAATTGAAGGATTGAAATTGCAACTACAGGACTTGTTGGAACGAAATTTTAAAAAAGAGAGTGACTCACCGTGGGGAGCCCCGGTCTTATTTGTTAAAAAGAAAGATGGGAGTCTAAGATTGTGTATAGACTACCGAGACTTAAATGATGTCACTATTAAGAATAAGTACCCGTTGTCTCATATTGATAAATTGTTTGACCAATTGCAAGGGGCGGTAGTATTCTCCAAGTTGGATTTGGGGTAGGATTATTATCAATTGAAGATTTTAGAGAAAAATATACCTGAGACTGCCTTTAACTCGAGGTATGGACACTTTGATTTTTTCCGTGATACCATTTGGATTGACCAATGCACCTGTTGCTTTTATGGATTTGATGCATAGAATTTTTAAACCTTATTTGGATCAATTTGTGGTGGTGTTTATCGATGATATTTTGGTGTACTCCAAAAATGTGAAGGATCACGAGAAGCACTTGAAAATTATTTTGCAAACCCTGAGGGAACATCAATTGTATGCTAAGTTTAGCAAGTGTGAGTTTTGGTTGAAAGAAGTGACATTCTTGGGACACATGATTTCTAAAAATGGGATAAAAGTGGATCCAACTAAAGTTGAACCTGTTTCAAAGTGGAAATGATTGGAAAACCCTACTGAGTTTCGATGTTTTATAGGGTTAGCAGGGTATTATCGGAGATTCATTAAGGATTTTTCTAGAATTGCTGGACCCATGACTGAATTAACCAAGAAAAGTGGGAAGTTTATATGGAGTCCTCAGTGCGAGGACGGTTTCCAAGAGTTAAAGAGACGTTTAACAAGAGCACTTGTGTTAGCTCTACCGAATGGGAATGATAGCTTTGTGGTCTACACAGATATTTCTAATGAAGGTTTGGGATGTGTTTTAATGAAAAATGACAAAATGATAGCATATGCCTCTAGAAAATTGAAACCGCATAAAGAAAATTACTCGACTCATGACTTGGAGTTAGCGGCTGTGGTATTTGCTTTGAAGAAATGGAGACATTACCTGTATGGAGTGACATTTGAGGTTTTTACCAACCACAAAAGCCTTAAATATTTGTTTTCCCAAAAGAAGCTGAATTTAAGACAGCGTAGGTGGATGAAATTTTTGGAAGATTATGATTGCACGATAAAGTACCATTCAGGGAAGACCAATGTAGTGGCCGATACTTTAAGTCGTTAAGTGCAAGTGGCTGGATTGATGATTAAGGAATTTCACTTGTTAGAACAAGTTAGTTTTTGGAATCCTACACTTGAGTCGAGAAAAGTAATTTTTAAAAATATTACAGTAAATTCCACTTTGTTGGAACGTATTAAAGAGACTCGGGAAAAGAGCTCTGAAGTTCAAAAGTGGGTGGAGAAAGTCAAAAAGGGAGAAAAGTCGGATTTTAATTTGGGGTTTAATGGTATATTGAGATTTCGGAATCGGATAGTGGTACCAAAAGATGAGGGACTTAAGAAGGAGATCTTGGAAGAGGCACACCGATCGAAGTTTACAGTATACCCTGAAGGGAATAAAATGTATCAAGACCTGAAAAGTTTGTTCTGGTGGGAGAGCATGAAAAGGAAAATTGCCCAATTTGTCCAGACCTATTTAATTTGCCAACAAGTTAAGACTAAACATCAGAAATCGTCCAGACTTTTGCAACCTTTAGAGATATCAGAGTGGAAATGGGAGAACATCACTATAGATTTTGTATCAGGACTACCCAGGATACAAAGAGGCCATGATGCTATTTGGGTGATAGTGGATAGACTGACCAAATCGGCTCATTTTCTGCCGATTAGTATGAGGTACCCATTGGAGAAGTTAGCTAAGTTGTATTTGATGAGATTATCGGTTACATGGAATACCTGTAAGTATTGTGTCCGATAGAGAACCGAGATTTGTTTTGAAATTCTGGCAAAAGATGCAGGAAGAGCTGGGACTAAATTAAGTTTTAGTACTACTTACTATCCCCAAACCGATAGACAGTCTGAGAGGACGATTCAAACTTTTGAGGATATATTGAGGACTTGTATTTTGAATTTTGGGGAGAGTTGGAGCAAATATTTAACACTGGTGGAATTTGCCTATAACAATAGCTTTCACTCTTCTATTCAAATGGCTCCGTATGAAGCATTTTATGGTCGGAAGTGTAGATCCCCGATTTGTTAGGATGAAATAGGTGAACGAAAAATCTTAAACCCGACTACAGTGCCTTGGATTGAGGAAGCTAAGGAGAAAGTGAAGTTAGTAGGACAGAGGATTCAGACCGCACAAAATCGTCAAAAGAGTTATGCAGATTATCAGAGGAAGGACTTAGAATTTGCGGTTGGAGATCTAGTGCTTCTTAAAATTACACCTCTAAAAGCAAATTTAATATCTAGAAAAGGAAAGAAGTTACAACCGAGATTCGTAGGGTCGTGCAAGATTATCCAACGAGTAGGAGATGTGGCCTATAAGTTGAAATTGTCATTAAATTTATCTCGGATTCACAACGTTTTTCATGTATCTATGATTAAGAAATATCATCCAGACCCTTCTCACATTTTGCAACCGGAAAGTATTGAAATTGATGAGATATTGACCTACGAGGAGAAACCGGTAAAGCTTCTAGATCGTACGATGAAGGAACTGAGGAATAAACGGATACCGTTGATAAAAGTTCTTTGGAGAAATCATGAAATAGAGGAAGTAACCTGGGAAGTCGAAGAAGCAATTTGAGGAAAATATCCAGACCTGTTCGCCGATTAAGGTAAATTTCGAAAACGAAATTTTCTTAAGGGGGAGAGGATGTGAGGATTCGTAAATTTACTTATTTTAAATTTCTATTACTAGTTTATTTAAATATTTAATTGCCCGTTTACTTGGAATATTTTATTTCAATTTTTTTTAGACTCAATTACATGGAACTATGACTTACTTATATTTTTAAAATGACTCGTTTCAAAATTTAATTTTTGAAAGCTCGTTAAGTGAGAATGGTGAATACGCGTTTGGAGTCAATAATCGATTCGAGAATACAATAAATTTGAAAAATTGGAGACTTGTACATTAATTTTGAAAT